CCCCTCACTGCCATTGAGTCAATGCCAACTGATAGTGATGCTAAGAGGTACAGTCTCAGAAAATCACAGAGTGGAACTGCCCCTGTGATTTTCTGAGACTGTACCTCTTTAGGGAGTATATGGTCCCATCTTTCTCCCAAAGAGCAGGGGGTGGGTTCAAACCGCTAGCCTTGGGGATTGCAGCCTAACTCATAAGCACTACCCCAACCAAGGCTCTTAGGATAACAATTCCCAGTGCTTAAAAGCAGGGCCTCTAGAGATGGGTGTGCATGGATCTGATCCTAACTCCTCCACACCCTCTTTTTAGGAATCTGTGTGGATCTCATAACCTTTCTAGACCTCAGCTCTCTCTATCTGCAACTGAGAATAATACTTACTTCTCAGGATGTAGATTAAAGGATTACTACATTATAAATATTTACAGCCCTGGAAACCCTACACAGGATTGCTATGACTGGGAATCAAGTCTATGGCAGTGGGATTTGGTTACATTATCAATTATTTATGTATATTAGAAAACACCCATTAATTACAGGTTTAAGAAACAGATTTAACCCTTGAGACTCTTACCTGGAATACTTCCTAATTCTTGGAAGAAAACTATCCCCTGAAGCCATCTTTAAACAACAGCAAAAAGTTTAGCTCAAAAAGTAATTAATGTGATCCTTAAATACTGCACTTATTAAGACATTACCTTTACAAGGCCTAAGGGACAATAGTCATGCTAAGACTCAGGTGAGAAGTTTCAAGGACAAGAGCCCTGGTGGCATAGGGGTTATGCATTGGACTGCTCTTCATGGTCAGCAGTTCGAAACCACCCACAGCTCCTTGAGAGAAAAGCTGGGCTTTCTAGTCCCCTAACCAGTTCAAATCACAGGGGGAAGGAGGGAGCATCGACTGCCTAACAGCCATTTCTGTTTGGGTTTGAGTCTAAATTAGTATCGGGAACACACCTGGAGTAGAAAGAATGAGAATCTTGACACGACGTGGAGAATGTAACCCAGGTCACCGAGCAATAGCTGTTGAAATGGTTAAAGCGAATTTCATATGTATATTTGCAGCTCCATTTAATTGCCTACGAAATCTGACTCCAGGTTTATGGAATGGCAGGCTAGTTCCTTTATAAATCAAAGCCCTCGGTGCTTAACGGAAAACGCGTTTGCTGAGCTCACCTGCAGTGTACGATCAGGGGCCCTTTGCTCTTGGTAGCTTGCTGCCGGACCATGTGCACAAACTGTAGGATGCTTTCTGCAGCATTCGCCGTGGGCACGCCGTGGTCGGGCCACACAGTGTAGTTAAAATGCATCACATCCTGCATCTCATCAGCCTTTCAGAGAGAAGGGGGAGAGAAACATCAAGCCCCCAGTCCACAGTCAGGATGGCCCAGGCCTCCTACAAGATGCCATGCTCGTGCTCTAAGGAGGCGGAGCCACACTGCTCTCCTGCCGGGTGCCCCTCCCAGCATTGTGTCTGTGCAGTCAGCTCTGAAAAGAATATGACTTGCACACCATCTTCCAGCAGTAGGTAAGTAGGCTCATCCACGGCTGCGCAGTGAGTGACAAGACCGTAAGGGGATCAGGATTTGTTTCCTGGACTTGCCACAGAGAAAGTGCATCACCTGTGGACAAGGAATTAAGCCCCCTAGAAGGTGCTGATCGAGTCCCACCCAGACTCCTCTATCAGCCCAGCGCACCTCCGTCCCCTGCTCCTGATAAAGTGCTCACCACTAAAGAAAGCTAACAGCCCTTCAGGCACACATGGTTAAGATCTCAGCTGAAAACGGAAAGATCGGTGTTTTGAAAGTACCTTCGGGAGAAAGAGCTTGTGATTGGCTTCTGTCCATAAAGATTTAACAAGAAAGCCCTATGGGGCAGTTCTGCCCTGTCACGTGGGGCCGCTATGACTCAGAATCAACTCCTCAGATCACAAAAACAAAGGGAGCCGCTTCGCTGGAAAAGGCCTAGGCCATTATGGTGGTGGAGTGAATTCTTTCCCCCACAATTTTATTGGCATAGAATCCACATATCACACAATTCAATAGTGCAATCCCCCGAAGGAGGAGAAGAAGAAGAGTTGTCCAAGCACCACCACGACCAGTCTGAGAACATTTTCTTCATTATGGCTCACGGTTAGGCTGCAATCTGCATGTTGGCAGTTCGAAACCACCAGGACATCCTGGCAGAAAGACCAGGCTTCTAACAGGCTCAGAAAGCCACAGGGGGGCTCTGTGAGTCAGCATGGCCTCTAGCAGTGTGAGTTTGGGGTTTTTTGGATCGGATTATGCAAATAGGCATTTGTAACACTAATAAAAGGGGATTGGTCAATTTTCATTCCCAGCCTCCCTGGCTCTAGGGATGAGCCATCTTTGAACCAGCCGCAGAGAAGAAAGAAACTGGGAGGACTGGGGAAGAAGACATCCAGATCTGCCTGCAGTGGCCCCTGAGGCCAGCTGCATCCCAGACCATGGCGGGGAAATGCAGGGGAGAAGTGGCCGAGACTACGGGATGCCTACGCCTTAGCTGGCCCAAACTATGGAACCATGGGACAGAGTGACAGGCTGGCTTCCTGGCCCAGAGGCAAAGGCCTAGGGACCACGGGGCTGAGAGATTAAGAATTTGAGAGAGCCTTGGCTGCTGGTTGAGGAAACTGACGACTGTGTACTTAAGTCTGCTGATTCCTGACTAGGGATCACCTTTAGACTTCCCTATAGCTCCCCCTCCTTGTGAATACCGTCTGTGATTTTTGTGTGGCCACTGCAATGAATTGTCAAACCCAGCACAGATGTAGAGCGGTGGGAGGATGCATGGGAGTCAGCCTAGTCATGGAAGGAGAGAGGGTGGGGTCTGTCTGGCTCTTGCCTTAGGGCAATACGGATCCAGAAGCGGTCAATGTTCACCTGCTTGCCCTTGATTGCTGTTATATCCCCCTGCTGAGGAATAGCCTGTTGCTAATGAGTGATTGGACTGGTGCACAGAAAACTGGCACCTGGCCACATGGTGGAACAACTCGGCTGCCTTTCCTGTCATCCTGGCACCCTTTGTGATACAAAGCTGAACCCCCATCTGGATCTGGATCTTACCCTGCCCTAGCCTTGCGCACTTTACAAGTTAAACCCTAGATGCACCCACAGGGCCTGCGGCTCCGTCTAGCTCCTATGTGTCAGAGTAGAACCGCACTCCAGTGCATTTTCAATGGCTGACATTTCTGAAGCCGATTGCCAGCCCTTTCTTCTGGGGTGCCTTTGGGTAGACTTGAACCTCCAACCATTTGCTTAGTAGCCATGCATGTGGACCATTTGCACTGCCCATGATATCCGCCTGTGATGACACGCTCATACAGGATTCCCTGTCCTGGGCTATGATTCTAGTGGATCTGACCCACGCCGAGCTCACGGAACTTCAGTTTTCTCATCTCTATAATGCTAGGTGACAGAGGCTGTTGTGAGGATTAAGTGTGAACATGTTTGTGGCAGATGGCCTCAAAACACTCCGGACATGTTGTTGTAGGTGTTGACAAGTGGACTTCTACTCTGTTGTGTCTATTACGACTGCACTGCTACTACATGCACTCTGACTCAGCTCAGGGCATGCGCATGGATGGATCTGGAACTATCTAGTAAGTGGGGATGTTTTGTAAATATGTCTGACATAAGGCAACCTCTACCACGAATAAAGTGTGGCTCCCTCTGAACTGACTGCACACCAGTTAGGATGTGGGTCACTCAAAATCCATTTTAATCCCTCATTCATTTGGAAGAGTAGGATCCATATGATTTATTATCAAATGTCATAATATTCCAAACCCAGTCTTTGCAAAGGTACTTCATTCTCAAAACTGGCTAAGAGTCTAGAAGATGGAATATTCTATCATAATTTGGGAGCACTCGGACTGACTATGCATATAAAATAAACATAGGCTCAGAAAAATGAATGCCAAAGTCAATGGTCTTGGGTGACACAAAATTTGTACAAATATAAATGTCTAACTACATTTATATAAATATAAACAAACCATAAATTGTACCTAAGGCCGTCAACTCCAGCAGTAGGCAAAGCCTTCCTTACTGTGCCCCAGGACTCTTTCTTAAACACGTGGATCGCGACAGGTACAGAGATGCCCATTCTTATCAGGCTTCACATAGCAGGGCGAGGAAGATCCAGACATACTAAACCGTGCAGGATGACTTAATTACTTAACAGCGTGAGTGTGAAAGAACATTGTCAGCTGCTAGACAGCTTTGGTTACACAGAAAAGTTCATGAAAAGGCTTGCCCTGTTCAGATACAGATCACAGGCTTAGCACAGGCTGTAGACACTGCCAGAGTACAGATAGTCCAACAGCATTGATCTGAAAGCCAATCCAGATTTTAAAATGCAACCCCCTCCCCCACCAAAATAAATCCTCTCTATCAAGTCAATTCTAACTCATATTAGTCTTCTAACGGATTTCTCTCACTCCACTGTCACTGGCATTGAGTCCGTGACTCATGGTGACCCTATAAGACAGGGTGAACTGCCTCTGTGGGTGTGAGAGACAGTAACTCATTACGCGAGTAGAAAGTCTTCTCTTTCTCCCTCAGAACAGCTGGTGGTTTCGAACTGGTGATCTTGAGGCTAACAGCCTAATGCGTAAACCACTGTGCCACCAGGCCTCTTCATATAGGATTTCAGACCCTGTAACTCTTTACTACAGTAGCCAAGGAGCAGCTGGTGGGTTTAAATTGCTGACTGTCCAGTCCCATGCCTAAGCCCTCTGCTACCAGGGCTTGCTTTAAAAAAAAAAAAAAAGCAAAGCAGTTTAAAAAGAAGAAACGTTAACTTTTTTTCATTTGGCCTCAGAAACTCTCAGGGTCAGTTTTGGCAAACCGGTTGAGAAGCCCCAAATAGCTGAAAACATTTTGTTTTCCTTTTTATGCTTATCTTTAGTTTTCAATTCTCACTTGGTTCATGTTAAGTTTTGAGTATTGGAAAGACACACATTGTGCGTTGTAGTCACCTTTGTCCTGTTCTTATTAAAGAAAATCCTTCTGGTTTTTAATCTTACTTTGTTATTCCTAAATGATCTTACAGTGACTTCCTCCTTTATGTAATGTATACCTTGCTGTACCCTGAACCTTGACGCCTATCCATATGTGCGGGAGGGAGGGAGATGAAGAACAACATAAACAAAGAGACAAACAGTAACACAGCCCCACGTGCTTTGGCAATCTCAGCTTCATTGTAAAACTGCATATTTGTGGCCAGAAGGGGGCTCTCTGACACCAGATGCTATTAACTACTGTGAAAACAATATCATTCAATACTTTCTTCCTGTTTTGGAAGCCCTTGGTGTGGTGTTATTGAAACATAGACCACTTTTGAAGACTCCAGGGACGAGAAGCATAGTATTGACTGACCATGTAATGATCAGTGCACAACATAGTAAGGGAATAGACCCTATTTTGTATTTGCTTTTTTTTTTTTCTTCCCTGGATGCCAAGGTAGGGAAAATTTATTCTACATTTAACTAGTAGTTTATACTGTTTTCTGGCTGAGCAAGAAAGCAAGAGGAAGTCAACAAGAGAGCAACTGACTCGAAGCGATCCCCATCTACCTGTTCCAAATAACGGTGGCCCCGCAGAATACGGACATCATTGGACAATATCATAAATATCGTGTGGTTTCGCTGGAAGATAACTCAACAACAGTTGCAGCAGTACATTGATAAGGAGCTGTCAGAAATTTATCAGGATTCAAAAGAGGACATGGAATAAGCGAGATCATTGCTAAACATCAGATGGATCAAGGCTGCAGCCGAGACTATCAGAAAGATATTTACTTGTGTTTCATTGCAAAGGCCTTCATCTGTGTGGATCATAACAACTTCCAGACAACATTTCAAAGAATGAATACTCCAGAACACTTCATTGTACTCAGGTGAATAGATGTATTGATTCGATCTGTATGCAGTGCAAATGCTCTGAGAAACTGATCTATAGAAGGAAGAAGGTGGCATCAGGATTGGGGGGACAGTCAATTGATATGCAGATGACACACACAACCTTGCTTGCTGAATGCCAAGGGGACCTGAAGCACTTTCTGATAAAGATCCGACACTGCGGTGTTCAGTGTGGGGATAACTTAATGCGGAGAAAGGAAGCATCCTCATAACTGGACTAATGGACAACATTGGGATAAAAGGAGACAAGATTGAAGTTGTTAAGGACTTAGTTTTATTTAGATCCACAGTCTACCCTCCTGGAAGTAGCAGACAAGAAACTAAAGGGTAGCTTCCACTGGGCAAATATACTGCACAAGACCTATTTAAAATGTTGACGATCAACGATGATACTTGGCGGACTGAGGTGTGCCTGGTCCAAGCCACGGTGTTTTTCAATGACCTCATATGTACCTAAAAACTGGACCATGAATAAGGAAGACCGGAGAAGAAGTAATGTATACATTATTTAAATTATGTAGGAGAAGAATAAGACAAATTCCATTCAATAAGACAAACAAATTCAATTCTTCGAGACAAACGAATCTGTCTGAAGAAAGTATGATCAGAATGCTCTTCAGAAGCAAGGACGGTGAGACAGTATGTCCTGTCTTCGGACATGTTATCAGGAAGGACCCACTTGCTGAAAACGGGTCTCATGGTTCATGAAGCTGAGTCAAAGAAAAAGAAGGAGCTTCTCAATGGCATGAATTGATGTACTGGCTGAAACATAACAACGGTTTTGAAATTGGTAGTGGAGCAGGCAGCTTTTTATTCTGTTGAGTACAGGGATGTGTACAGGGATATCATGCATCAAAACTTCCCATGGCACCTAGCAACAGCACTCTATGTGAAGCTGGTAACAGGGTGCTTCTGGCCGATGTCAGTGCCCAAGACATAAAATATAAGGCTAGCATAGAAACATTTAACATATATTCAGAGGCTGCCATCAGAGAGCTAGTGGGTCTCATGGAAAAATAAGACTTTCTAAAATTCTAACAATAAATAAGAAAAAGTAGCACTGCAAATGATATAAGGCACAATGGCTAGTAAGATCGAGATCTTCCTTCTAACACAATCAAAATAGAAACAAATCAAAATAAAGCCCTATAAAGCCTATAAAGCCTATAAAGCCTGGAACTACTAATTTATTAAAATTAATAATGTTTAATTTCAAACTTAAGTATACCTTATATATCCTAATTATACTCATATGTGTTGCATATAGGTAATGAGAACACTTCGTTCTAGAATTAAACCTGGTAAGCAAGGATTAAGCTTGTCATCTCATGTCTCTTTCTTCTGACCCTCAGACTTTCCATTTCTTCCACAGCATTCTTAGTGAAATAGTAAGCAACTACTCTTGTATTAGCAGTGCCAATTTCCCCCTAAAGGGCACAGTACTTCCAAACTTGAAGTGCTCCGGGTCTGCCACACCAGGACCTGGACAACGTGCACTCCCTCCGCCTGCGGGGTGTGACTTACATAGCTGATCCGGAAATGCCTACAGGCCCAGTCGTCCTGTTCCTCCTCTGAGACCATCTCCACGGTGATGTCTCCATAAGGGATGGGTTCTTCCGTGAAAGGCCAATAATGGTCACATTTCACCTGAAGTCAAAATTACAGAATGTTGTAAGGAATGAGGCCGGTGTTCACTTCGGGAAAACAAGGGAAACGGAGGGCATTGGTCTCTGAAACTGCACAGAACATGTGTGAGGATGGAAAACGAACAGGTCGGATAGTTTCTACTATCGGGGAGGCGTCATGGATAGCGGGGTGAAAGGCCTCCCCAGGGACTTACTCTCCTTTTCTCGTTGCATTGAGTGAGCATGACAATCATCTGAGACTTCTGCTGCAGGACCATCTTCCAAAAGTCATTTCTGGTTTCTGGCAGCGGCCCCTGGGTGGCGATATACTCCTGGGGTGAGTTGTATCCCTGAGAGAGAGATGACAAAAGTATCACCTAATGGGCCATTGCGGACTCCAAATGCCATTCCACACACATAAGTCAAAACTGAAAAGCAAATGGTAAGAAGCCTGGAGAAGGGCTCGACACTGATGTAAAATTCACTCCTTTGTTCATCAGAAATGCGGTCCCGGAGATTGGTGTGATTTTTAAGCATTGTTCTCCGGAAGTTTCTAAACGCGCGCAATAATTGCTATCTTTCCAGATGTTACAACATCTGGAAAGCTTTCCATTTGGTTGTTGAAACTGGCAGTTAAATGCAACGGGAAAATGATCTTTAAGCAGAATAATCGACTTCCTTTTAACTAGTCCTTTACAAAGAAATATGAACATTGCTAATGTCTTAGCCCCCTTCCCCGCCCGCATTCTTTGTTTTGAAACGGTATTGGGAATCTAGTCTTTAGAGGTGAATTTCCAGTTGGGAAGTGGTTCTCTTTTTTAACTGTTGATGACATTCCTATGTTCTTCTGCATTGTAGCCAGTTGGCTGGGTTAGCATTTGAACACCTGATTCTCGTTCTCTCTCCTTGAAGTCCACTTGCATGTCCCCAAAGACTGCAAGTCCACTTCAGTTTGGCTTTTCTTTCTTTTTAGGCACTCAGACCAATCTTCAGGTTTGAGGGATTAGGAATCTGGGGGGCTTTTAAGGCTATGACCATCCTGCTTTTTAAAAAAAAAAATTGCTTTCTTTATTTTGGTTTTATAGATGCATATTCTATATAGTTACACAGCTATCTCAACAAATGAAATCAGTAATAATATCCCGCTAACTGTACACCACCCCCCCAGATAAATACGATTCTCTTTTTACTCCCCCTCCATCCATCCTCCCTCTCTCCCTCCCTCACATAACTTCCTGTCCCTTTTCTGTCCCAGTCCCTCCCCGCTTCCTGGCCCCACCCCAGCCCTGGCCTCCTGGTCATCTTCAAAGCCTTATCTTGTGGTGTAAAATTCCTTTTCCTTATAATAATGGTGTCATTTATTTTTATAAGATTTACTAACTTTGCTAAGCAAAATGTTCTCTAGTTTTGCCCATTCCTTTTGTGTTTAAGAAAGCCATCATTGTATTTATTGATGCATAATATTCTCTTGTATGAATGTACCAGTATACGATTACCACTGGTAGACTTACGGGTATATAATTGGCATTGATGTAATCAGCACCTTCTTCTTCATTCATGGAAACTAATCTCACCCGGCTAAAGTCATCTGTAAACAGGGAGAAAATAAATATTAAAAATCAGAATGGAAGGAATAATTGGAGACTTTTTTTTTAAACCAATCACATCAAGTCAACATAATTGACATTATAGTAGGTAGTATTTCTTTATAGTCTGATTTTTTAGCCATACCTCAATGCCAGCTTCTTGTTTAAATAAGTGCACTATTTTCTCCCTACCTGCTCTTGGGTTTGGGAGGACGGTGCAGGATGTAGTGTCTGAGAGATTGCCTGGAAAGCACTAGGAACTAGCCTAAACAGTGCATTGCTCACTTCATCGCTCGTCATCCCCATCCCCTGTCCCACACCATGTATCCCACTTCCTCCCTGCTTTTCCTGTTTCCCTTCCTCCTTCGTTCCTAACTCGGAGTGTTGACGCTGAGTAAATGCTGTCCCTTTTAGAATAACCGTGGCTGGTTATTCTAACAGGAGAGTGAGTTTCGGACCTGAAGGGAGACAAAGAGCCTATGAAGTGGAATGGACTTCGTGGCAGTGAGAGTTTGGTATGAAGTGGAATGGACTTCGTGGCAGTGAGAGTTTGGTATGAAGTGGAATGGACTT